AAAAAAAAAGTCTTAATATGCGTAGGACAGGCTTTCAGTAGTACAGCAGTTTCTAAATGATTTTTTTCTGTCATCTATATCACATTTGAAGTATATTTTTCCTTTCCCCTTCTCTAAATGTATTGTTCATGTCCTTATTTTTATAATTTGTTAGAGCTGCTGAAATGGGAATGCCAAATAAGAAATTTCTGGTTAAACAAAGTCCTTCTGAAACAAGGTGAGAAAAACCACTTCATCTCAGCGACAGGCTTTTTTTCCCCCACAAAGAAAATTTTATAAATCCCAAACTTCCTCTTTGTTAACATTGTTCCACTTTACATAGCTTGCTGAACTACAGGGTCTTAGGCTCAGGATTTGTACTGACATCACATGTCAAGTTAACTGTTCTGAAGCTTTTTGTAGGGCAGTGTCTCCCTGGCAGAAATTTGAGCTAGATATGTCTTGATTGCAGTTCACAGTCAAGGGGATCTTTGGTATTTCTTTAAAAACCTTAGAAAGCTAACAATATTTTTGACCATGTTTTCTACTCATAAAATCAGTAACATTGCTGAACATGGTGGTGCACACCTGTAATCCTAGCACTTGGGAGGCAGAGGCAGGAGGATCATTGCAAATTCAAGACCAGCCTGGGCTACAAAGTGAGCTCAAGGCCAGCCTGAACTGCACGGAAAGACCCTGTCTCAAAAAGACCAAAAAATAAAATAAAATAAAATCAGTGATATTTTCTTCTCTCACGTGTTTGAAAACTTGGCTTTTGTGAGGCCTATAAGTAAATGATGTAAAAACTCCAAAGTTAATGCAATCTCTTTCCTGGTAAAAATCTAAGCAATGGGCTGTTTAGGAGCAAAACATAAGCAGCATTGATGTGCTGTCATCTGTCTGCTTGGCTTTGTGGTAACACGTGTCATATGATTGCCTGCAGGACTTCCAACCTCGCCTACCATTTTTCATCCATTGAAAGAATAAGAAAAACAATTTATTCTTTTGAATTAATTTTTTTATTTGTCTACAGAGTGCTTCAGCCAAACCAAGGACAGAATGCACCTATTCATAGGCTACTTAGCAGGCAAGGGTAAGACTGCCACACACTGGGTATTTAAAAATATTCAAGATTAGCTTTGAGAAAGAAATAGAATTGTAATGTTCTTAATATAGAGGATAACTTTTGCAATTGTGATAAAGTTCACATGTAATTCTCTTAAACTTTTGTTTTCAAAGATAACCCTCTTGGTGTACTGTTGTATATTTTAGTTATCATCTTACGTTGGCATGTTTTTACTTTTCATTTCATACCATGTTATTCATTAACTATTTTAAAATGTCCATATAGTAAGTTTAGTATCACCAAAGTGAATCTCCAGCAAAGTATGAGCCATGGTTACTATCTCTTACTAAGTGTCGTTTTTCTTGGTTTGTGCATGCATAAGAGTTAAAGTCTTTTCACGCTTAGATATGCTTTGAACAGTTGATACAATGTGGTTGCTTTCATTGAATTTTGAACATTTAGACTTTAACTTAAATGACTTATTAATTTTTTTATATTCAATTAGAACCCCTAAGACATCAGTGAAGGGGGTTATCCAGAATAGACAGAAGCCTTCCCAGAGCAGAGTGCCTAACAGAGCGCCTGTCTCAGGTGTGTAGAAAATAAATTCCCAAAGCCCCTTCACTAGAAAGACGGGCACAGCTGCCCCTAACTCAGGCTACATGACTGCAGCGTGTTGTCTTTCCTTGCCACCATAATTTTGGCGTATGCCTGGACGTTCCCACTAACGATCCTTTTTGTTACCATTTTGCGGCAGTCAGAAAAATCTTAACAGAACTGTGGCTGCAATCTTGATTTCTGTAATAATTCCATGGAAAACTGTATTTTTTATTCTGAAAAATCTATAGATTTATTCAATCTTAATTCAGAAAACCTTTTTATAAATGAGTAAAAGTTAATGAACAACTGATGCCTTATATCTATGCAGGTCTATTCAGCATAGGGGCAATGTATCACCCAGAAATACTTGTATCTGCACATAAGGGGATGAAGAATTTCTCCCCCTGCCCACATGATCACAAGTGAATATGCGAGGTGGGAAGGAACCAGTAAGAATCTTGAGCTCTATATCTTCTTATGTTCATCACTTGGTGTTTGTTTAAGGGTGAAACTGAAAAATTTTTAAATTATTTATGGTGGCAAGAAGACACATTCAATGTTGAGCTAATATTAGCTCCTAACCAAATGGTTTAATACTTTTTAGATCTCTTTAAGACACTTTAAGTTCACTGAAGATTATATGATCTATTTAAAAATACTAGATTTTAACTATACTGCTTTCTAAAACTTGAAAAAACAGGTAAATTAATTACCAGGCAATGAAGATTAAACTAGTAATTACTTCTAATCTTCCCATTCGCAAACAGGCAAATTTTAGAGCTTTTATTACTAAATGATTTCCTGCAGGTTAAGAGGGAACAAGCAATAGAAGTATTTTTTTCATGTTATCATATTTGTTTGTGAGATGAGTTCCTTTTGTTCAGAGAAGGAACAGGCAATTGATAGCAACTTTTTTTTTGTCTTTGAGATAGGGTCTTGCTATGCAGTTCAGGCTGGCTTTGAGCTCACTTTGTAGCCCAGGGTGGTCTTGAACTTGCAACTATCCTCCTGCCTCAGCCTCCTGAGTGCTGGGGTTACAGCTGTGAATCACCACACCTGGCTTATAACTTTGAAATAATTGCTGCCCTCTTACAGATATATAGTGAATATAATTCATAATCTCACACATACACTTCAGGGAGATAAAGTCAAAAGTCCTCTTTTGAAATCATTGCAAAAGACAGTCAGGGGACTTGTTTTAAAGACAATCGTATGTTTGCAGATCTGCATACCCCAGAGGCTGCCTGAATCAGGTAGCCAGAGAGAAAAACATTTAGGAGAACTCAGACCAGCTAGCAGTTGCTTATAAAGCTACATGAAGTTTTAAAACACTTTCAGTTTTTCCCATGTTACTTATCTTATATATTATGATAAATCTTAGCTAGGTGGAAAACCATTGTGGAGTTAGTATTGTTTTGCTTAGTATTATCAATTTGCCAGGGTAACTGCTCCATCATGTTCTTTTCTCATGCATTTCATCTCCACTGTTTGTCACTTGTGAACTTACAAGCAAAGCTCCAACTCCTACTTTATTGAGTAGTATGAACAGTATAAAGGATGGGAAAGATGTTACGCATCTTGTGCAAGATGCAGTTATTATAGGTAAGAACATACAATGAAGTTCAGGGTTAGAACTACTGAGGTTTAACTGCACTGCAACGTAATTATTAACACAAAGGAAATTAGCCCTTGAATAAACATGTACAACTAATACATGTCTAAACAAGTACAAAAATTCTTTTTAATAAAGATTTATTAATATACAAAGGCTTATTTAGACAATTGAATAAGACTGAAGAATTTTAGCATTTTACATAAACTTACAATTTGGTATACTGACTGATTAAAATGTTAACTAACCGTGAATCCAAGGACAGCGATCTATAGTTGCTCTTGAAAAATAATTACACTTTTCTGCTCAGATTTTTAATGTTTATGTTTTGGGTAGATTTGGAATTACACTTGTATTTAGTTTGGATTAAAACCTTTATTAAGCAATTTATTAAAAAACTTACTTGCGTTAGGATAGAGTATCATACTCTTAGACTAAAGCAGAATTCTAACATGTTTATGCTACAAAGCATCTAAAATTATTTACAGTTTTTACAAACTATATTCGTCACTGGTTTTATGTTTTGAAATATATTTCATTATTTGATGCTTGTGCTTGGCTTGAGTTTATACTGAAATTCAGAAACCATCAATTTAGAGTGTAAGCCGGGCGTGGTGGCACACGGCTGTAATCCCAGCACTTGGGAGGCTGAGGCAGGAGGATCGTTGGGAGTTTGAGACCAGCCTGGGCTACAAAGTGAGCTCACGGCCGGCCTGAACTGCACAGCGAGACCCTGTCTCAAAAAGACAAAAAAAAAAAATTTAGAGTGTAGTAGGAGGTGATTATGCAAAATAAATAAAGGGCTGGGGATATAGCTCAGTGGCACAGCACCTGCCTGGCAAGCGCAAGGTCCTGAGTTCAATTCCCAGTACAAAAAAAAAACCTTGGCAAGATAAATGATAACAAATCTGATGGAATTGGGTTCTCAGAGATTCTGCTTCTAACTTTGTTGGCTTAGGTAAGTGCTCTATTAGGCCTTAGTTTGAATTATCCTTAAAATGGTGGTAACCATTTCTCCCTGTAAGAAGAGACTCAGGACTAAATATTATAATGTATATAGCTAGCCCAATGCCTAGTAAATAGGAAGCATTCATTAAATGGTGTCATAGAAAAACTAACGTTGAGAAATAATACTAGTTTTGCTCTATTTTTAGGAGTATATGCAGGAAAAATCCAAAGAAAGCGGCAAAATGTTGCGACAATTTGAGAAGACAACATTCATTAGGATAAGGGGGGAAGATTATTATCCATATAATTTTCCCTACCTAATACTTTTTATTTAACACTGGAGTGTTTACATAGGCAAAGTGACCGAATCAAAGGGCTGAGCAATGATCTTCGTAATTTGATCAGTCTGATTAGTTCCTGCCTCACTCTCCTGGTTTCCTCTTTATATTTGGATGAAGCCAAATTAGTGGTCATGTCTATACTTAACCTATACAAACATATTTTACATGCCCACATGTCTACAGAAACCCTTTCTGTACACTTAAAAAGACATCTGGCTTTAGTTTTACAAGATACTGGAAAGATATAACAAATTATAAATTAAGTTCTAAAACATGAACTTCATTCATCTCTGCATATTGATGGCTGGAGTTGAGGAACAAATTAGATATGGTCCTGTTCAAAGGGAAGTCACTGCAGATACGTCTCCCTGGTTTTGTAAATTTAAACACTATGCTGACTTAACACAATAACCACAAGATACACTCTTGGGTTGTGGGCCACGTAAAATGTAGGCAAAAGTAGCTGTGTGTTCACTAGTTCGGTCAGAAGCACACATTCCTGTCAAGAACACTGTCTTAAGAAATGTTAGGAAGAAAAAAAATAGGTGGGTGTGGTGGTGCACGCCTGTAATCCCAGCACTTGGGAGGCTGAGGCAGGAGGATCATTGTGAGTTCAAGACCAGCCTGGGCTACAAAGTGAGCTCAAGGCCAGCCTGAACTGCACAATGAGACCCGCTCTCAAAAAGACAAAAAAGAAAAAAAGAACTATCAGGTTGCATGTATGTTACTGAGTACTGCTAGAAACAGTATTGTGCTGGATTATAGAGTCTGGAGGGTAAGAGATCTGGAGAAAACACCACAATTTTCCTGCATTGTTACATCCGTTTTTGTAAAGTAGGAATAACTTGTTGCATGCAGTTATATTTTCTATTTAGTTGTATAGTTTTTTTTCTTCATAGTCTATCTTCTAGCATGCTTGATTTAGGAGAAAATAAAGGGCTATATAGAATACTACATCCAGATTTAAAATAGGATAGTAACATTGCCTAGTTAGAAATTGGCATTACTTAACAGGCACAGATATTTAAGGTTTTTCATCAGTAACATAGTGAGTAAAAGTATCAACTAATAAATGTTACCGAAAACATGACTTCATGGAAGAGAGTGTCACTGTTAATTTATCATACAATTTCTAAAAAGGGCTCTATGCTTCTCACATAAATTGGGACTGTGTATATTCAGTCTTTGTAAAGAATTTTAGAGATACTGGTATTTTTAAAGTGCAGCCTATGTATATTCTTAAAACCCTTTTGAGAATATGGAGATAAAGACCATTTTCTCCGATTTTAAGTTGCATTTAAGAATTAACCTTTACATCCAGCTGTACATGGAAAATAACCTACTTTGGATATAAATTCATTTCTATTCGGATGTATGGGATGCATTGAATGAGTGGATGATAAAATTAAAAGTCAAAAAAGTCTTGTAAAACTTATCAGTTTTTTACTTACAGGAAAATTATGTAAAACTATCCTTTTAATGATGAACTGTGCTTTATCATTCTGAAAACTCAGGATACAGCTTATTTATATCATTGTTAGCCTCTCCAGTAAGGATAGATGCTAAAAGTTTTGTGTGTACAAATGTAAATTCGATAAAACAAACAGTACGTTTTGGAAAAAGGTAAAACTAGTTTTCAGATTAAAGCATGTGTTTTACACATTTCTTTTATGTTCACAGGATTTTCTCATAAAAGTGCCAGACACTTTCATTTTTGGTGTTTTATTTATATATACTACTTTTATTCTTATTTTTACTTTGAGTGGAATGTCCATTAATGTACATTGTATTTATTTTTATACTTTAATTTTCACTAGTTTTGCTTCTAGGCAAATGGCAAAATAAACTTTTTTTTAAAGTCCCACCAAAGGTGTATTCCGTATTTAATTTGTAACTTATACCAGTAGTGAGTCCAGCATTCAAGTTTGCATGACTTACACTGTTGAGAAGGTACAAATGTCCTTGCCTATAAGGAGCTGGACACCTGCAAAAAGCCAGTGGGAAGGTGAGGGAGAATGCAGTGTTCTAAGACTGAAGCTCACAGCAAAGCAGGCAACTTACACAGCTTCAGTAACACCAGGCTTATTACTCCCACACTGCTCCTGCCTGTGAGTACAGGAAAAGGCTCCTCAGTGCAACCACCTCTTGCTGAGGTCTCATGGGGGTCATCTGCAAGGCTGTGTGGGAAGAGACTGTCTGTCTCCCTCTGCTGCCCTTCAACACCCGTGTTCACCCCTGTGTCGGGAACAGTGGAAACAACCAGAAGGTATCGCTTAGGAGCTGAAGACTGAAGGACTCATTCTTTTTGGGGTCAGAGGTCACTGTCCCATGAACAGGTGGAGGCCACCTGTGAATGAAAAATAAGTTATAACAACGTAAGCAAATACAGATTGGAAATGCTTTGTAAGTAACAGACCCTAGGGGCATCTGTGTAAGTTCTAAAAAGAATTGTAAAATCACACAGCTGGACACGGTGGCACGGGCCATTTGTAATATCAGCACTCTAAGGCAGCTGAAGCAGGAGGATGGCAAGACCCTAGGTTCAACGTCCAGTACAATAAACAAAACCCCGGTTGGGGCATCATGTAGTGAAATCACATCCTTGTTCACAATCTTTAACAGCTGCTCAAAGGCAAAAATCATGTCTAACCATTTATGTATGTCAAAAACATATATTTAAAAACTTGACATTTTGCCTTCTCACCTATTTGGCCCGCTCCCCTCATTGGTCAGTGTTTCTCAGGGCCCCCAGTGCTCCAGTTTCTTGGGGACGGATGGCATTGCCATCGGAATCGTGCTTTTGCTTCCTTTCCCCTACATTTCACAGCCTGCTGGCAGACTGACTCTTGCATTACCCATCTCTACCAAAGATGCTGCAGGCTTGGTAGAACATACCCAAAGGCAAGGGGCCTACTGCTGCATCCCAGCACTGCCCAGCCTTTCCCATCACCTCCACCTTCATCCTGGGTTATAACCCCAGTGCCACAGGTGGAGAAACCTGGAGTCAGAGTGCAAAACCACACTCATAGCTGCAAGTACATTCTGTTACATTTCCCTAAACTCCTAACAATGTGACTTGAAAGCGAAGGGGGAAAACTGAGATCAGATGGTGCTTCACGATTCACCAGTCCCAGTCGGGGTTAGAGTTCAACTCCCGATTCAGGCATTTCCTGCCCTCGGAATCAACGTTTCTGTTCCAGTTACTAGAAACGAACAAAACAGTAGTCATTTCAGGCTGGCAGTAAGGGACAAACCAAGGGAGCCTGCAGTGCACTCAGCCCCACAGGCACCGAACCGGCGCTAAACGCAGCCTTCAGGGACAACGCGGGGGCGGGGGCGGGGGGGCGTGCGGCTTCGCAAGTGCACTGAAGAGGCAGCGGTTAAGCCGCAGGGGATACTATTGGACTCGGGACGGCCGTTAACGACCGGCTGTCAGTAGAGGGAGCCGCACAGGCGGCGCCCAGCGCTCAGAGGCGGGAAGGGCGCTCCCGTCATGCGTCACACGGCCGTTGCGCCCCCGATCCAGTGCTGTCCACCCCGGGACGCTGCCAGGCCGCAGCTGAGCTCCGCCTGTACCCTCCGCAGAGGAGCGCGTTCTTTTCCGTCCCTAGACGGCGGAGGTGGAAGCGGCTCTCCATTGCGCCCCGTCCACACCTTCATGGCGCGCTCAGCTACAGCCCACAACCAGTCGCAGTAGCTGTGTGGACGCCGGCGAGCGGGCTCTTTCCTGTAGTGAACCTCGTTGGTCTCTCGTTGTACCCCGGAGAGGAACGGCGGTGGGTATGAGAAAAATAAAGAGAAGAGACAAGAGCTGGGGTCAGGTGGTGCCTCTCTCCTGAGCAGAGAAGGGGAACTGCCCCAAAACAGTAGAGTATTTATTTATACCCTCCAGAGGATGGTTAATTTCCGCCTCGCTGCCCAGCGACCAGTGAACAAGTCACAGCGCCTTGTTTACTCCGAGGAGCTCCCGTGTTCTTGGGCTGGCTTCATCCTGCACGTGTAATTATTTTCCAGCTTCAGCGGCTCCCAACACCTTCCTTCTACGAAAAGGGACTTTGGGGAGCACGTCGTCTGCGGCGTAGCGGGCGGAGAGCTGCCCCTCACAGGGACGGCGCTGACCGGAGGAACCCGGCGGGCACATCCCCGCGCTGCCCAGCCTTTCCCTTCACCTCCACCTTCATCCTGGGTTATAAGCCACCGGTGGAGAAGCCTGGAGTCAGAGTGCAAAACCACACTCAGCTTCAAGTATATGCTATATGCTGTTGCCTTAGCTCCACGAACATGGCGCCCACAGAAGGGTTCGCCTGGTCTTCAGGGGGCGAATAGCTTCGCTTCATAACCATGGCTTCTGCAAAAGGCGCTGTGCGCAGACTGCTGAGGAGGCCCCTGCCCTTCCCGAGCGTGTCGCCGCTGGCAGACGTTGGCCGGGACCGGGGGGGCTGGGAGCTGCCCTTGATAACCGTGGCGCCCGGGGAAGTCGTCGCCTTTTCTGGATGAGATGGAAAGTTGCCTTTACAGCCTTGGCGCCGCAGAAGGCGTCGCCTGAGCTCCGCCGGGAGGACAGCTGCCCTTCAGCATCACGATGCTGGTGGAAGACGCGGAGCGGGCTCTAGGGGGCGGAGAGCTGACCTCAGGGATCCCGGCGCCTATGGAAGATGTCCGGAAGATATCGCGTGGGGTACGCGGTGCGGAGAGCTGCCTTTCAATTTGGCGCCTGTGCTGGAGTCGCACTGCGTAGGCGAGGCAGAGAGCAGCCCTGCACCATTAGGGCGCCCCTGGAACTGCACGTTGGAGAGCTGCCCTTCCCACCATGGCGCGGACTAGGGGCCGAGTTGGTGAACTGTCGAGAAGGGAACAACGCTTCCCTATCATGGCGCCAGCCAGAGGACAAATTGGTGAACTGAGGGAGAGCTGCCTTTCCCCATCAGGCCCCGGCGAGTGGCTGAGTTGGTAAACGGCTGAGGAAAGAGTTGCCCTTCATTATCATGGCTCTGTCAATGACACAGCAGGGTAGCTGCTGAGAAAAGCACTGTCTTCACTTAAGGCGCCAACGGAAGGCGTCGCCAGGACTCTAGGGGGTAGGCACACACTCGGTGGCAGGGCCGGGCCTGGAGGGGAGGAAAGGGGCTGCAGGCCCCTGGATATGTGGTCATGTGACCGGCAAGATGGCGGCCTTCCCTTGGTAAGCCAGAGAGGGTTGGTGGGCCTTGGGCAGGGCTCTCCTTTGCTGTCTCCAGTCTGTCTCTTCAAATGTAAACTGTCTTCCCTGATTGGGTCCGGCTCCTCCCAGCCCACGGCAAGTTGCCCTGACCACGGCCTCCCTGCCGTCCAGCCTGACGCTAGTCGGTGCAATACGGTTCTCGCCCCTCCCTCCCACTCCGCACTCATCTCCTAAAGCAAAACCCGTTTCCAGCCTTCCGCTTTCCCTGGAGGAGTTGGCGGGGGTCCCGGGGACACTGCTGCATTTTTATTACTCAGGCTGTTGTTTTCTTGAGTCCTTCAGCTCACCAAATAGTATAGTAGAAGAAAGGGCCATCCCGAGAAGGAGGGCGAGTAGGCCAGAGGAGGGAGCGAGCAGGTAACCTGGGGCTCCGGAAGGCTT